ACATATCCACACATTTCCACAGTGCTGCAAACTCATTGCCATTAAGTCCATGCTAACTCATAGTGACCCTATGGATAGGGCAGAACTGCCCCTGAGTTTCCGAGCCTATAACTCTTTATAGGAGTAGAAAGCCTCTTTCCGCCCTCTCACCTCATTTCTCTATAGTACAGAGACTCAAAATTTGCCAATATATTTCCAAAGAGCAAACAAAATTAATTTGGTGCTTATATCTTATTAAACCCAAAGTATTCAACCCAAACTAAGCAGAAAAATAAAATAATGCAGAAGTCAATTGAATAGAAAATCAACAAAGAAAAATCACTGACACTCAAAGTTCTCTCTTTGAGAACATTTATCAAACTGATAAACAGATACACACGTCAAAATGATCAGGAAGAAAGGAGAAAAGACAAAACTAACAAATAGGGAATTTCTCTCCAGAACACTAACATTTATGAAAACTGTCGGCTGTAGTAATGCATAGATCAAGAATATGGAATCGTATAGGACATGTTACCTGAGCTTCATCCAAGTTACAATAGAAAGTATTAAAAAGGTCTATTGACATAGGCAACAATATAAATTAATCTCACATTTTATTATGCCAAGTAAAAGGAAGTACACACACAAAATAAATATTATCTCATTTATCTGAAAATAATCTATGGAAGCAAAATTAATCAATGGAAGAAAACATGAACCATAATTGCCTCTTCGGAGTGTGGTTAGAGTGAGTGACAAAAGGTATGGCAGAACTTTCTGGGTGATATTAACAATCTGTACCTTAAAAAGTTTGCATTATACATTTGTCAAAATTCACTGAAAGGTACACTTGGATTTGTGATTCAACTGCATTTAAATTTTACCTTAAAAATTAAAATACTTTAACAAATTCACCAAATGGCAAAGTGCTTAGGATGATGGTAAACCATTGTTTATAAATTATTTTGGAATGTAGTAGTAATAAATGGATTGATGCTTGAATACAGGATAGGTAAGTGGATAGTTACTCATTAAAGCAAATATAGTAAAATACAGTCAGGGTGAGCAAATGAATGTTTGCTGCACAATTACTTCAAACTTTTAATAATAGTCAGAGAAAGCCAACATCATTCAAA